CCCCAACCCCAATAAGACAAAAATGGACATTCTTCTGATAGTCTTTAATTTCAGCTAAGATTCATTGTATATTGACAATGATTTCCCTAATAAAGACTCTTCTTAACCCCGCTCATATTTCTGGCAGTTCTCTGTCAATATACTGTTCCAGTCATTTTTGCCCTAAATAACAACTTCAGAAAATAGATCAAGGATAAACCAGCCAACTGAATTAAAACCACATATTTCTCAAGACTTAGAAACTTATAATTGTAGATTGTGAAATAGATAGCTCCAGAAACATTTTCTGTACTTGTTGTTGAAATCACTAATTGTCTATAAACTTCTAATGCAACAGAATTGATATCTCTGGACAATTAACTCCAGTTTAATTCACTTACCAGAGGGACTCTTTCATTTCAATTAAAAGAATTTAATCTTTTAATTAAAATTGCCTGAGCTCTTCATGATCCTCAGGATCCTTTCACTCTTTTCTTTACATTTACAACTTCACTTTCACCAAAATATCTATCTCCAACCCATTATATGATTATTTTCCTCATCTTCCAGATAGACTTCAACATAAATGTGGTACTAATTTTTGTACAAAGTATGTGTAATTTTATAAAGTTAGAGTTATGGAATTGTATTGTTACTTGAGCTTCCTCTGCCTTGTTGTTGTTGTTATGTGCTGTCAAGTCCCCTACAACCTATAGCAACTCTATGCCCAATAGCTCTGAACTCTGTCCTATCCTCAGCCAATCTCACTGTCTCCAACATACCTGCTTGTTTTACCCCAGTCACTGTTTCAATCCATCTCATCCAGGGTCTTACTCTCGACACACATGATGTACTTCTCCAAAAAGTGGTCCCTACTCACAACACGCCCAAAGTATGTGAGATGGAGCTTCAAAATATTTGTCTCAAGAGAGTAAGTTGGTTTCACCCTCTCCAGAACAAACCTGTTTGTTCTCCTGGTAGTCCATAGTATATTCAATACTCTTCCAAAACCAGAACTCAAACTCATCAATTCTTTTTCTGTTACCCTTTTTTATTGCCCAGCTCTCTGATGCATAGCAAGCAAAGGCTTTGACTTGGATCAGATGCACCACAGTCTCTAGACTGACATATTTGCACTTAAAAACTCTGGAGAGACTCCTAACTGCTGACTTTGCTAATCCAATTTGTCTTTTGATTTCCTGGCTGCTGGTCCAAGAGTGTTGATTGTAGAACCCAGAAAGTTGAAAGTGTTGACAATATCAATCAATTCCTTTTCCATCTATCATGTTTGATGCTGGCAATTGGCTAAGTGGTGAGAAACTTTGCCTTCTTGATGTTGAGCTTCAATCCACATTAAGGACTGCACTCCTTGACTTCTGCAGATGATGTTTTAGTTCGTTCTCCGTTTCAGGGATCAAGGTCATGTCATTTGCAAAACACAAGTTGTTGAAAAGCCTTCCTTCAATTTTGATGCCACATTCACCCTCATAAAGAATTTTGATGCCACATTCACCCTCATAAAGACCAGCCTGCGAAGTGATCTCTTCTACATAAAGATTGAAAAGATATAGAAACAGAATGTATTCGTAACACACTCATTTCATGATTTTGAACTATGCCTCTAGAGCGCTCATGCTGGTGGTCTCTGATGTTTTACTGGTAAGGAGTTCTCTATTTATTCAAAGATGAAGTTTGCATCCATCAGTTCTCCAGTGGAGGAAATGGGTGATTTCCTTCTTTGCAGTTTTCTCCCTTTAAAAACCTTTTAGAAGGTCTGCAATTAGTTGGTTCTAAATCAATAATAATAACAGTTTATAAACAGTTGCACTATTCACCTAAAAGCCAATTTTCTCTGCTCATTTAAATCCATTAGTAGCTCTAAGGGAGAAATATGGACAATCTACCACAAGGTAGTGTCATTTATTAGTTGGTTCCAACTTGATAGAAATAAGTTGAGGGGTATTTTTTCTGCATCATAATTTAAGTTTTGTTTGACAAATACCAAGATTTGAATGTAAATGACTGTAATTTTTTTACATTACTGATCAATAAATGAGGATGTACCAGATTTTGTGTATTTAAATAATCACTAACTCATATATAAAATTCACATGTAATTTACTAAGTGTATAACATCAAGTAACTACTGAGTAGAAGCTCTGATGGGCTAGTGGGATTGTGCTCCAATCCCACAGGCACACAGTTAAATCCATTAGCTGCTCTGTGAAAAAAGGCTGGACAATCTCCTCCCTTCTGTTTAAACTGCCTTTGAAAGCCCAGTGGAGAGGCAGTTAAGGGTATATTACAACTTAAGTACACTATAACAAGTGGGAAATTATTTTGTTTGAAATGAACTAAGGAATTTGTGGGTTATTAACAGTGACTTTATTAATAGAAGCATTCAAGCACAAATAGAAAAATGAATTGGATGAAACTATCCTTATGCATGCACAGTTAATTGTATCCTGGCCAGGAGGAAAGCTACTGGTGGAAGAATATTAAACATAAGGAAATTAAATAAGAACATTCCAGAATTAAGTAAAACTTGGATATTGAGGTAACAATCAATTGCTAAGTGGCAAATATTGAATAGTAATAACAAACTGTGGCTGACTCTGAGAAGAATGGGAATCCCAGAACATTTAATTGTGCTAATGCGAAACCTGTACTTAACCAAGAGGCAGTAGTCAGAACAGAGCAGGGTAACACTGCATGGTTCAAAATTGGGAAGGGTGTACGCCAGGGATGCATCCTGTCTCCATACCATTTCAACATGTATGCAGAGCAGATTATCCAAGAAGCTGGGCTCTATGAGGAGAATTGTGGCATCAGGATTGGTGGAAGATCTATTAACAATCTGCGTTATGCAGATGACACAACCCTGCTTGCTGAAACTGAGGAGGACCTCATGCACTTGCTGCGAAGGGTCAAGGACTGCAGCCTTCAGTATGGACAGAGGCTCAATGTCAAGAAGACAAAGATTCTCACCACTGGACCAATTGGCAGCGTCAGGATGGATGGTGAAGAGATTGAGATTGTTCCCAGGTTCAGTTTGCTCGGCTCCACAGTCAACACTCTTGGCACCAGCAGTCAGGAAATCAAAAAGCGTATTGTGATGGGAAAGTCTGCTGTTAGGGACCTCTCTAAAGTACTCAGGAACAACGGTGTCTCTCTGGAGACTAAGGTGCGCCTGATACAGGCCATGGTATTTGCAATCGCTTGTTATGCATCAGAGAGTTGGACAATGACTAGGGAGGACAGAGGGAGAGTGGATGCTTTTGAGCTGTGATGCTGGAGAAGAGTACTGAATGTACCGTGGACTGCCAGGAAAACAAACAGATTCATCTTGGAGAGGATTAAACCAAGCTACTCCTTGGAGGCAAGGATTCTGGGGCTTCGTCTGACATACTTTGGACATGTTGCCAGGAGGGACGGGTCCTTGGAGAGGGACATCATGCTTGGGATGGTGGAGGGACAGCGCAGGAGGGGAAGACCGTCTATGAGATGGATTGATTCGGTGACTGGGGTAATCGGGATGCGTGTGTCAGAGGCATTGCGATTGGCGCAGGATAGAGCAGGGTTTAGGGCTGTTGTGCATAGGGTCGCTATGAGTCGAAAACGACTCGACGGCACATAACAACAACAACAATGTTATATAGCTCTGTAGAGTATGAATTAGAGAGAAAAAAACACCTGTTCATTTTATTGGCCAATTCATTGATTAAACTACATAATATTTAATCTATATTGGTTTTCTGGATTATTAACATTTTTTAAACCATATATTCTTATTTACAACAAAATAAATGCAGATCACAATAAAATATATTATTTTAAGTATAATCATGAACTATATTTTCATAAGTCATTTTGACATTTAGAAAAATTAGTCATATAAGAATGACATAAAGTAGTGAAAACTTAGGAGAGTAGCAATATCAATAAACAAATAGAGAGGCAAACAATATATATTCATGTTCGGTCAAACAAAAAACCCACAACAAAACAAAACAAAAGTTCACATTAATACTACATAGAAGTTGAACTTCAGAATTTCTCAGTATATGGTACCTGCTAAAGGACAGCCAGACAATTCAAAAGTTATTCTGAATATTAGAAAATGTCAAATGCATTCTAAGTAGGCTTTGGGTATTTTTAAAATATGTAAATTGTCTGCTTCAATCTTGAGGCATTTTGATAGGAACACATTTGCAATTATTATATTTATATCTATTCTTGGGGCAGGTGTGAGCATAACAATTTTGCACTGGTGTTATAAAACAGTTCCAGTGCCACCAGAAATAAATTTATAAAAGCTTTACTCTTATTATTAAAAAAAACAAACTTGGAAAATATTTAAAAAAAATATTGTGTTTTCTTTGGTTTTTTTGTTGTTGCTTTTGTTGCTGCTGAAAACATTTCTAGAGAAATGGGTCACTGTACTAACCTAAATAAGTATACAAAATCTTAGGAAAATTAGAATTTTGGAACAGATTTAATGTTTTTATGTTTTGTATTCTTTACAGCTTGGCCTGTTTTTGTCACTGTGTACACTACATTCGCTATCTTTTGGAAACTTTATTTGTTCACAACGTTTCGGGAGGCCACACACCATTCAACAATCTGGTGAAGGTGCGGATTATTAGATGGCTTTCTCATCAGTTTTTCAATACAGCATAGAATTAGTTGGTACTGAAATAGAACTTTGATTGACCTCTGTCATTAATAAACAAACAGATGATAGTGAATGGCTTTTGACTCATGATAGTTTCATGAGTGCAAAAAAAGAACTACACTTTACAGTTTAAGACTTGCTGTTTTGTTTTTTTTTAAAAAGCTTGCCTTTTTTAAAGTAGATAACCAGTCTTCTTTTGAATCACTTTTGAGTGGGTTTGAACAACCACTGTCTTGGTTTCCAATCAAGAGCTTTATTATTTGTATACCTAGAGACTCTTTTTCTCTAAATGAAATTATTTCTCAGGATCTTAAGTTATTAAAAACTAGCAAAGTACTATCACATGCATTTGAATTTTGGGAAAATTTATCATTAAATAATATTCTTAAGGTCCATTTAAGAGAAAAAAATCTCAAACATGCACAACACTAGAAATAGGTATCTATGTAGAGATTATAAAGAGTTCTGGTGATCCGGTGGTATGGAGTTGTGCTGCCAATCTGACAACACGTAGTTCAAATTCTCTAGCTGCTCCAAGGAAGAAAGAAGGGCAATCTGCTCTCTTGCCATTTACATCCTCTGAAAACCCACTAGAGAGATTTCAGCTATGAGTTGGTTCCAACATCACAGCATATAACAACATATAGAGATTATGCCGAAAATACTGGACTTCATGTTTAGATTTTCTTTCCATTTGATGTCCTTGTCTTTGCTCTTTTAGTGGTGAAGCAAAACAAACATCCATTTTCAAACATCAAATGAGAAAAAAAATGGGAATAAAAAAGAAATATCAAAGAAGAAATAAAAATTAGACAACACTATTAAATTACCAGTTAAATTTTATTTCAGGTTAAATATTGTCAGGTTTATAATGAAAACAGAACTAATCCTATTTATCTTTCTAGTACATATATACTGTTATGTTCCGTTGAGTTAAACTGACTCGTAGTGAACCCACCAACAGTTTTTGAGAGCCTGAAAATCATACAGGAGATTGTCCAACTTTCTCCCACAAAGCAACTGATGTGTTGGAACTGAATACCTTTGGAGTGACAGTGAAACTCTTTACCACTAGGCCACCTGAGCTTCTATATACTCTCTATATACATACATACATACATATGTGTTGGTGACATATATCTCTGGATATTCAAATCAATTAGCTGCTCACAGAAAAAACTGTGAGCACTTTCTACTCATTGAGATTTGCAGCCTTAAAAAAATCTAAGTGGAAAATTAATTATATATTTCAATAGACTCAATGGCAGTTCAGGGTTTTGTTTGTTATTGTTTTAATTTTTTTTTTTATGGGACCAAAAAAGAATATCTTTCTCCCAAGAAATCACTGGGTGGTTTAAATGCATAAACCTGTAATTTAGGTTATCTTCAGAATGCTAAACCATTTCACCACAAAGACTTATTCTCTATTTTCTCCCTACGTACTTTTATATATAGATATTCTCTATATCTATGAAGGAGCTGTGGTGGTTTAACATGTTAATGTTTTATGTTGTTGCTGTTATTGATTGCCTTCAAGTTGAGCATGACTCATAGCGACCCTATGAACAAAAGACTATCGACATTTATGAAAGTTCATAGAGTTTCCAGAGGCATGTTGTTTATAAAGTGGATGCCTGCTTCCAATGTGCTATTCTGTTAACTAAAACTTCTACCTCATGATAAAAATAGACAATCTTTTCTGTAAAAAGGTAACATTTCAGAAACTCAATGGAAGGTTGTCACAAGTCAGAAATCTCCAAGATGGAAGTGGGTTTGTTTTTGTTGGTGTACAAATATATGTGATGCATTTAAAAGAATTAGATTCATATTGGATAATGGAATGTATGAAGTCCACAGAGTGTAGATATTTTAGGCCAGGAATTGCTATAGTCTTGAGCTAAAATCTCTACCACCTCTCACCTTTCCCAATTCAGAAACCTCAGTTAGTTATAAAGTATTTCAATTGAAAGTCTAAAGCACATACCACCTTACAGAGAAGAATTCTTTACTTAAAATCAATCCATTTTAAATGTCAACCTTCACTTACTAAGGGCCTATGTTAATCTCATACTATTGCCTAATTAAGTTGATACATAAATCTGGCTATCACAATTTATTTTTCAAATTCTGCCTGGTTTGTAATAAATTACTGTTTTTATCATTTTCAAAGAGGTAAACACTTTATTGTTGTCATAATAAAAATGCTATAATCTAGAAGTAGAAGAATTCTCAGAACTTACTACTTTTTTCCACAGAAAATATTAAAACTTATTCTGTCAATGGAAAATGAGGGATATAGTTTAGAACTACTAAAATGTATGTTACTATTAAAAATTAAAGTATTTATCATTTATGTATTTATTTATTGTTGGAAGTTAATAGTATTTACTATGAACCAAAAAATAAATTATTATGTACTTATTAGGTATATGCAAATAAACTCTGGTGGCTTCATGGTAAAAGGCATGCAGTTGAAATCCGACAGCAGATCTGTTGGAGAAAGATGCACAATCTCCTTCTGTTAGACTTACTGTCTCTAAAAATGCACTTGGAGGATCAGTTATTGGTCGGTTCTGACTTAATGGCACATGGCAATGACAGTATATGTAAATGTATCTTTCTATAAGAATATAGGCGCTCTGGTGGCTTAATTGTGAGGAATTATGCTACCAAGGCAAAGGTGGTCAGTTCAAATCCCCGGCTACTCCATGATAAATGAATGCAAATATCCTCTTGTAAGATTTACTGCCTCTGAAAACTCCCTGGAGTATCAGCTATGGATCAATTCTGATTTGACAGTTCATAGCACAACACCACCACAATATATTTTATTTCTAAAATATGTTTTTACATTTGGCTGATCCCTTGAACACTCTTTAGGTAAGAGTTGTGGTTGTTGTGTCACATTGAGTCTGAACTGACCCACAGCAGACCCTCCTGCAGATTTTCAGACACAGTTTAAAGACACAGTTTAATCATACAGAAGGAGATTGCTTGTCTTTCTCTCACTGAGTGGGATTACAGTGCAGCTCCTTCCTATTAGCTATCAGATCTCCATATGTAAGAGCAGAGCAGGGAAAGAAATCTACCTGCTTTTTACTATATTAAAAAAAAAAGCTAATGTTGCAGTGATGGGAAATAAACAGATAAATGCCATTTTGAAGTGATAACTTGTAGCTAATATTTTTATAACTTTTATGTTGTTTTATTTTTAGAGTTGTGCCTTTTATTGGGGATTCACTTCCTGGATTGCCTACTACGTTAATCATCCACAGTATACACCACCAAGTATGTAGGACTTTTTTTTCCCCTTAATTGACCCTACACTAAATTATCAACATACAAATTTTATTCTAAAGTACATATATATAAAATTAAAAGCAAATACAAAGATGTTGGTAGGAAAATGCCAATTTTAAATTGTATGTATGTACAAACTCATTATTTATTTGCTTTTTTATCTATCTCTATCTCTATCATCTATATCATTTATATCTATATCTATTCCATATCTAATCTATATCTACATCTCTATATCATCTATGTCTATATATATCTATAATCTATAGCCATCTATCGGTATCTAAAAGAGTAATTTGATTAACATTCTTCAATGCTTTTATTATGCTGTAGAAAGTCTAATAAAATTTTTCTTGTTGTTGTTATATGCCATCGAGGCACCTGAGACTCATAGTGACCTTATGTACAACAGCTCTGAAGCCTGCGCTGTCCTGAGTCTTACTGACTCTGCTATACCTACCCCCTTTGCCTTAGTTACTGTATAAATCAATTTCCTTCTCAGTCTTACTGTCCTATGCTGTCTGTCCCTTTACCCTTCTGGGAATGATGTCCTTCTCTAAGAATCAGTCCTTCCTGGCCATATCCCAAAGTATTTAAACAAGTAGCTTGAACGTCCTAGCCTCCAAAGAGAAACTTGGTTTACATCTTAGTAAATCTCTATAGAGAATTAAATATATTGTTTTGTGTACCATCAAGTAAGAACCAACCCATGTCTGACCCTCTAATGGATTTTTAGAGGCAGTTAATCAATGACACGAGAGGATATTGCCATCCTTCACCCATGGAGACACTGGTTGGATTAGAACTGAGTGCATTCACTATTAAATTGCCGTTTCTTGTGACTAGACCATAAGAGCTCCCTATATTACTATATAATGACATTGGACTCAGTTATAAGATATTTTAAAAGTTAAAAAAAGGGGAAGAAATAATTATTGTTTTAAATAAACTTCCTTGGAGGGAAAAGAGGTGAGTATTTTTCTGTGAAAAATTACTTTCTTATTATAATTAATTTTATTAAAGGCCTAAGCATTAGAGTCAGAAGTGATTCAAACTAGTGATGTTTTCACTTCCTAATCAAAGAAAGTGGGAGGAATAATAAAAAATGAAAAAAGTTTATCTTGAATGTTGTTGTTGTTATGTGTTGTAGAGTTGCCTGTGACTCATAGCAACCCTATGTACAACAGCCCTAAAACCTGCTCTGTCCTGTGCCAATCTCACTGTCTCTGCCACCCCCACCCTGATTACCCCAGTCACTGAATCAATTCACCTCATAAAGAGTCTTCCCCTCCTCCACTATCCCTCCATCCTCCCAAGCATTATGTCCCTCTCCAAGGATAGGTCCCTACTTGTAACATGTCCAAACTGTCAGAAGAAGCCTCAGAATCCTTACCTCCAAAGACCAGTCCAGTTTAACCCTCTCCAGGATGAAACTGTTTGTTTTCTTATCAGTCCATAGTATATTCAATACTCTTCTCCAGCACCACAGCTCAAAGGCATCAATTCTCCTTCTATCCTCCCTAGTCATTGTCCAACTCTCTGATGCATAACAAGTGATTGCAAAGACCATGGCCTGTATCAGGCACACCTTAGTCTCCAGAGTGACACCATTGCTCTTCAGTACTTTGGAGAAGTCCCTAACAGCAGACTTTCCCATCTCAATAAATCTTTAAATTTCCTGGATGCTGCTGCCAAGAGTGTTGACCATGGAGTCGAGCAAACTAAAACTGTGACCAATCTTAATCTCTTCACCATCCATCCTGATGCTGCCAATTGACCCAGCGGTGAGAATCTTTGTCTTCTTGATATTGAGCCTCAATCCATATTGAAGGCTGAAATCCTTGACCATCTGAAGCAAACACTTTAGTTCCTCCTCAGTGTCAGCAACCAGGATTGTGTCATCTGCCTAATGCAGATTGTTGATGGATCTTCCACCAATCCTGATGCCACACTTCTCCTCATAGAGCCCAGCCTCCCAGATAATCTGTTCTGTATATAGGTTGAAAAGATATGGAGATAGGACACATGCCTGGCGTACGACCTTCTCAGTTTTGAACCATGCTCTGTTCTGACAACTGCCTCTTGGTCCAAGTACAGGTTTCACATTAGAATGATCAAGTGTTCTGGGATTCCCATTTTTCTCAGAGTCAGCCACAGTTTGTTATGATCCACACAGTCAAACACTTTTGCATAATCAATGAAACACAGATAGACCTTCCCTGCTTTCAGCTAGACCAGACCAATCAAACATTAGCAACAATATCCCTAGTACCATGACCCCTTCTAAACCCAGCTTGGACTTCTGGCACTTCTCTGCTGATGTGCTGTTCCAGGCATTTTTTGGATAATCTTCAGCAGAATCTTGATTGTATGTGATATCAATTACATTGTTCAATAATTTCCACACTCTGTTGGGTCACCTTTCTTTGGAATAAGAACAAATATAGATCTCTTCTAGTCAGTTGGCCAGATGGTTGTTCTCTAGATTTCTTGGCACAACTTGGTGAGCACATGTAGGGCAGCAAATAAATATATTTTTTTCTTTTTTCAACTGAATATGGACTCTTATTTCTCCTTCTTTCCTTTCCTCCCTCCTACCTCCTTCCCTCCCTCCCTCCCTCCCTTCCTCTCTTCCTCCCTTCTTTCTGTCTTTCCTTCCTTCCTTTATTTTCTTTCCTTCTTTCCTTAGATTCTCTTCTACCTTTACTGCAGCCCACAGGAATTCATATAACAACCAAAGGGCTACAAAAATTGAAGATTCAAAGTTAATTGAAAATGGTCTATTAATAGATTTCTGATTTTTATAAAATTTCAGATAAATTAATATGAAGATGATATTTATGTTTTAAGTTATATACACAGTTGAAGCTTTCTTAACATACTCATATAGAGACTTATAATAGACAGGGTCTATGAGAAAAATAACAAAATCTAATTGTGCATGTGTTGAGTATTATTAAACATCAAAATGCTCAATATTCTTAAATCTAAGTAGTAACATGTTATAATTTAAAAAAATTAACTTCCGTAATTGTGATTTTTTTTCATCTTACTGGAAACTACAGATAAGAACCATAAGAATGGTACATGTTATTTGCTCTATGTCTAGTTTAAGAAGTGAAATATCTTAAAAATTGCTGCAAACATATTTCTGCCATAAAAATTAAAATATGTAAACTTCTCTTTCTCTAACTGTAAAAAGCAAAAATTTCCTTTCATGACATGACATAAAGAGAACGAAATAGCTACAAATTCTATTATCTAAGAGAAGACCTTACTTAGCTGAAAGCAGAGAATACCAGAGGAATATCTATCTGTGTTTCATTGACTATGCAAAGGCATTTGACTGTGTGGATCA